GTTTGCCGTTTCCGTGATGCTTAGGCTTTCGTGCTCCTATCAGACTTACGACTGGGGAAAACTGGGTCATGAGAGCGAGGTTTATGCTCTCTTAAGTGGTTGCACAGAAGAACCTGTTTCTGGAGAAGATATCCCTTATGCGGAAGTAAGTTGAATAGGCTGAGTAGCAATATTTGTGTCAACACAAATGTGTTGATTATCACATCCGAATTTGCGCTTGCAGCTTTGGATGGGAACCCACCTCTCCGGCCCATCGAATTTGTATGGAAATGCAAAAAAATCACTGGCTACATACCTTATTGAGCATCCCAAGTGTCTTGGTGCCGCTCTTGTGAAATTCGGTCGAACGCTGCCGTTTCTGTTCAAGGTTTTGTCCGTTGGAAAAGCACTGTCGATCCAGGCGCATCCCAATAAGGTAAAATGCATTGACTGTTTCTTATTTAGGCACAAATTCTTTTTGTCAAGTACCATAGGCTTTATGTTTGTAGAGCATTTGAAAACCATTGGGCTCTAAATGTGAACGAGGCTTACGAACCCATGCATCGTGTCAGATATCTGGGTATCCCGAGTATCTACAGAATCACCCTATTCAGTGTACACTGGGCATACAAAACGACAAAAAGAGGGCGATACTGATGTATGAGCATCGCCCTCTATAGGGGCTATTCCTGAAAATATATAGGGTAAATTTTGCCATTTAAGTTGTGTTCCGTTTTCCATTTTTGCCGAAACGATATACCCCTAGAGATACCCAAATACATGCATTGCTACCCAGAACTTCGGAAGATCCCAATAAGTTCTCCATTATCAGGTTACTTCGTAGTACTAACAACGCGCGACTGATTCGTACCAGTCTTAAGATTCATTTCGGCCCAACCTGGGAAATTAATGAAACGAATAATCCATTTACCTCAGTATCCAGTTTCAAACATACAATACCTGTGATATGACGTGAAAGTGTCATTGAGATATTTCACAAAAATAAATCAACGCGGGTTACTTGCCCTCTGCCCTCAAGACTGAAAATTGAGGACGTTTCATCCGAAATACAGTACGAAGGGAACTAGTTATATGGCGATTAATAAGTGGTACTCCCGAACATAGCAGTTTAGTTATTGAATGACTCACCGCATGAAACCTGTTCTGCAAGTATCATTGACCGCCCACCCTGAATCTATCTTTGAATTCGTTCCGTTGTGTAATTTACATCTGTCTCAGAGGCTTTACTACGGCGTCTACGAAGGCAATTGTTGAAACTCATGTAATTTCTTTACTAACGATTGAGCTATCTGTTTTACTTCGCATCATAAATGTATTTATTTCAGCACACTCATTTATTACTTAAAATTAAACCTTAAGAGGTCACGAACCACGTTATGTCCACCTCAAGTTCGGTGACTAACGTTTGGTGACATTTTTATTTGGAATTAAGAAATTTTAGTGATGTATTCCTATACAACAAACACAATATTCCTTTGGTGATAATTTTATTTCCAGTTCATCAACTTCATTTATCGTTATTACTAAACTCCTGGGTTCAGTGTGGTACAGTAAACAGGTTCCAACAGGATAATGTTGATCGGTTATCATTCCGATGTTTGAGAAAGATGGTAAACCTTGTGAAAATCACAAAAATGAGTTCAATCAAAATTATCTCCAACACTTTCGCTGGCATCATAACCCGTCGATTATCTGCCGCACGGCGGAGTCTCAAAATGATGGAGTGATCGATCGAAGTAAATGCACTCTCACTTCGTTAGGTTAGGTTCTTGAGGTAATTGTCGCGATTGAAAACTTGGTCGAGAATTTTAGTTTTCCTTTTGCTTGGTGATTGAATTCCCCAGCAGTTTCCGTTCATCCAACAGCAATGAGTACAGGATCTAAAAAGAATTTCCCTCTGCCACGGTTGTCACACCGTATAATCAGGACTGCGCTTCCCAGTATATCGAGCGGGGTGGGTAGCGATAAGTGGAGTATTACTCAGCCATCTCAGTCTTTTCTTCGTGTTCAGTTCAGAAATTGAAAAGATGCACCATAGAAACATTCTATTGACACTCCTACAGCAACAAAATTTCCCGTCACGTCTTTTGAACTAGATGCATGACTATTTTATCGACCGATGCCAATTCATTTGTCCCAATGGTATTAAGTCGTCCACTGTCACTGTGAACCGGGGTGTAATGCGGGGAGCAATTTTATCTCCTTTTCTGTTCTCTTTCTACATTCAAAACTTGTCAGTCCCCCAAATGTTTCCACGTTTAAATATGCCGATGACATAGTAGTTCGTAGTGTCTCTTGAAAGCCTCAGTATGGTCGGGGGTGGGTGTCTCGAGTCCGGCTGGTCACCCTCCATTGCACCTCATGAAATGCTCCTATATGACCAAGCGTCTCAAATGGCCTCTGCTGAGGAAGCCCTACTCACTGCCTTCCCTTGGAGGAGGTGTTTTTCTCACCGAAGTGAGAGGACGAAAAGCCGAAATCTGGGGCTATAACCAGGTCGGTGAACCACTGGCAGTTCACCTAGGGGAGTTGGCTAAAAACCCTGATTCCAAACCAACCAAGAAGAGGCGCACGAACCACCCACACCTTTCTGGTTGTGACACGACTCATCAGCTCGATTGGGCATCGAGGTGTATTGGATACCTTGGACGTTTGACCTCGTCCGAAGGGCGTATGATCCGATAAACCGGACACCGGCCCCTAATGGATTGCGGACTCTGAGTTCCGTCCTGTTGTCTTGCAGGCCAGGCTTTCTAGTCAAAGGCTTCGGGTGGGGACCCCTAGGTTATCCCCCTTCTTCAGCCAGGGCAACCGGGGAGTAACATGCCCACACAACTTATGAAACACACAATATGCATTTCCGAATTTTGGCTCTAACTATGCGCTCTTTGACTGAGATGTTGGCGGTCGGCTCCACAGATTTCCACGTTACCACACCAACAGATCATACTCTTTCCC